AAAATCTATATAAATTATTATATATATTGAAAATGGAAATTATTATAAGGTATAATCGGTTCATTCATGTGTTGTTTCAGTAACAATGGAAAATGTTTAATATGTTTAATGAATTGTAGGAATTTCCACAGATGTATATGTATGTTCTAAAATGTTTTTTTTTGTCAAATAAAAAGGTGTTCATCGGTCTGGTATACAAGTCAATTGAAATTTTGGTTATAATTCGACTGAGGTATATAACATTGTTTTCAAGGGTAATTCAACCTTTTGTTTTCTTTTGATACTTTTTTCTTTGGGAGAGGCGTATACATAACACCTTATCAATTAATTGGAATGACTGCAAATACTTCAGAAGTCGCAGATATTTTTTTATCTCTACATTTCTTCTACATTGTACAAAAACATTTTGACATCAACGATTGGTGGACTAGGAAAGGTACTTATCAACATCGATGATTCAAGGAGTTGAAAGTCTGTCATTCAAAGTATAAGTAGAATGGGTGGAAAAACATTTATTATATTGAATGAAATGTTTCAAGTTGTTTCAATTTCAGCGGTTTCATAGAACTTAACATGACAGGTTAACTCTAAACTACCACTGAGAAACACATACTTAAAATTGGAATTTCCCAAATTGTTAAAACTAGCGAGCCGCCCTGGCTCTGCACGGGTGCAATGCTGATACGAAATATTAATTCACCCACCAGAAATTAAGCGGCTGGCGACCTAAGTGGAATATTTGAAAATCCTTTCTTATTATTATTATTTCTTATTTCAGCCTCCGACAATATAGGTACAGTGATGAAAAGGCAATTTTCATATGTAAACGCGCTTCTTTTACCTCCACTGGGGAAGCCCCAGTTGGAATATTTGAAAATCCTTTCTTAGTGCGCATCTAAGACCTAAGAAGCTATATCCCAAATTTCAGCTTCCTAGGACTCACCAGTACGAAGAAACAGAGATGAATGAGTGTTAAGTAACTTTCGCATTCATAAGTATAGATTGTGATCATGGTCATATAGAGACATACATGCTGAAATACAAATAAGATACAAATGCACGTGTTAACTGAAAAAAACACTTATTATACGTTCAAGGAGGCTGGCAGACAACGAACACAGACAACAAGAGTTGAACACCTTCGAATGAATGTCTACTCAGAGAAAATTATAAAAGCGGCTTCCAAGATCACACAGAAACAAAAGGAAACTCTAGAAACACCGGTTATAACAACCATACTACCATTTATTGAAGGATTAACGGAAAAACAGTTTTTTAAACAGATTTTTAAAACCACGGACAAAATCTGTAGAATTCTCTGCCAACACAATATTTATAACAACATCATTTTTACCAGAAGTACAATGAGATCCATTTTTCGTAATTCAAAAGGTCAGATATCTCTGGAGTCCCAAGGAATTTACAAAGTACCATGTTAAGGCTGTGACAAGACTTACATCGGTGAGACCAACAACATACATAAGGATGAACACAAATTATCATTGAAGGGAAAAGTCACCACCTCTTCTCTCTTTCAACACGTATTGGTGACAGGACACAACACAGAAACACTAGCGAGCAATGAAAACTTCTACTCTCGAACAATCAGAGAGGCTATCGAAATTAAAAAACGATTCAGTAGCATGAATAAGAGGGATGACGAGCAAAGTTTACCAGCAACATGGAGATCCATCTTATCCCTTTACACAATCAAACAGACCGTACAACTCCAAATGCACGTGATAATTCAGGTAAAATGACAAAGATAGGCGGAACAGCACAGGAAATTGGGCCGACACAGGCAGTAGCAGCAAAACGAGTAGATGATAACAACTACCCCTACAAACAGAGTTCGAGTTAATGAGTCTAGTTCCAAACTCCGGACATCACCAGAAGATGGCAAATGCGACTTTGCTCAAACGTTATGAAAATAATTCTTATGAGGATCAAAAACACAGAACGTGGAGCTTTATGGGAAATGATCCTCGCAAGGAGAGGAATATGCTGAACTGATTTTCGGGTTTTGATCCGTGTTCTGTGTAATTATCCTCTTTGGGATTGATCTTGTTGAGTTCGGGTCGAACCGCGTCTGGAGTTTTATGTTCAACGTTGCGGTACCCATTTCGTAGCCATTTTTAAGAAATTGGTGTGACTTCACGGCGGGCTCTCAGTCTGCCTACTCCCCAGGTTTCGTCACGAGTTTTTTCTACTCCTTAGATAGAACTGAGGTATCGATGGGTGTTCGGTGGTATTTATATCGGTGGAAGCTGATGAAGTGGTAATTTGGGGGCGAGGCTTTGGGTGATTACCATCACCGGACGTCTTGGTGGGGGGTGAGCATCGGGAGGTCATCGAAATCGAACAGCGGCCTCCCTGCCTAAACAAACATATGACGGTCAGAGGCTTCCAACCTGGAAACCTCTAATTTCCCGATATTCATCCCACCAGGAGGTCCGGTGCTAATAATCACCCGTAGCCTCGCCCCCACATTTCCACTTTAGTTCAATCTAAGGAGTAGGCAGATTGAGACCCTGGAGTCGTCACATCAATTTCTTGAAATGGGAGCCGAAACGTCGAACACAAAACACTAGAAGCGGTTCAACCCGTTAGAAAACACCCTGTATACACTAATCTACATAATTTTCTGAATCCGATGATATCCCATAGTTGATATTTGAATTATGGATTGGAACACATGTTTCTGTCAGGTAGCCTGCAAAATCACCCGACTTAATTCCTTCATCTCTTCAAGGTCCTTTTGATGAATTGTTGAAAATCACATTGAAAACATATATAAGTTGAAAATTCCACAGGTGTATATGCAGCGTATTCATAGGGAATGTCGGCAAATTGCATTTACTTTGAGAACGGAATTTAAACTTAGGGTACACCCCCCCTGAATCCTTTATGTATGCAGCTATTTTTCTTAAATTTGGCACAATTATTGAACTCATGAAAATGCATTTTCAAGTAATATCTATTATCAATGCGATCTCTAACAATGTATTCAGTAACGAACGTTCATCTAAACGCTGAACGTTGTTTTATTATTTCTTAACTTCTTTGACAACCTGCTAGCTAGGACCTAGAAGAGGTCTAAATGAGTTATGTCGGGTGATCTTGTAGAACAGCTGACAAAACCATGTATTCCATTCCACATTCCACAATTCAAATATCAACTATGGGGTATCATCGAGTTTAGAAAATTATGTAGAGTTCAAAAATGTTATAGTATACAGAGTGTTCAATCCAAATATCAAACTTTGCTGTCATTTCCGAAAAAACCTAAAGTTGGGAAAATCTCCCGTTACTTCAAAAAGTATCTCTCTGTGAGCAAATTCAATATTTCAAAATTCGTAAAAATAGTCTGTGTCACCCTATGTTACTTGGTGTAAGTACACTGCAACTTAATATATTTTTCTCTCAAATAAAAATAAACATTAGTGTAACAGTATCAATTCTTGTAGATCCAATATTCAGTTCTGTTTTCTTTAATTATGAAAATTCTACTAGGTCTCCAATCCAAACGATTTACTATTTCCAATAATAAAGTTGCTGAAGGTACAAGACATCTATAAAAAGTTGTTTTTTTTTCTTTACGATGGACAGAAAATCGAAATGTAATCGATTTCAAGACAAGTAACTCCAAGATCAGGATGAAATAGTAAACATAAACTATATTGATGACATTTTGTGTCCATGGAGGAAAATACTTCTCGTATTAAAAACGACTAATGTAAATTTTTATCTACATTGTCCGACTACTTTACAGTTTGGGAATGCGTTTCAAATAAAGCTTTAGGACAATCTTGGATGATAAAGCATAAAAGGAATTCAAATTTTGAAATTCAATTTCATTATACTATCATAAATGTGTCAGAACTATTATACAGCGTGTAACAAAGAAAACTTAACAGAGCCGTTTTTGAATATGAAAAGTAAGATTTTTAAAAAAGCTCGGACACGTCGATCTCTAATTAAAGGGGGACACCTTTCAGACTGATCAGATTTTTTGTAGTACGCACCCCCTCGGAGGGGTGCGTCCGACAACCCTTATTTAGATAGGGAAATTAGGTCGAGTGGCACTACTGCTGAAAGGGTTTCAGTTATTGCTTTATTTTTTGGCAATGACCAAAATGCTAAAAGAACATCAATTTTATTTAACGAGCAAAACCCTGGTAAACACCTGAACAGAAATCACGTTCTGGATTTGGTCACAAAATTCAGGGAGACAGGTTCGGTTTCAAATAAGAAAAGAAAGATTCAGAGAATGATAGTGAATAACGATAATGCGATTGTAGTGATTGGTCAAGTCATCGCCAATCCCATGTTAAGTACCAGAGGTTTATCAGCCCTAAAACAGTTTTTTAAACTTTTCTGTGTCATCAGCATTCAAGGAAATCAGCAGGTTGTATTCGTTGTGTAGGTAAGTTTTCAGTATGATTAATTTTTTTATCAAAAGCATAAAATATCCACGTCAAAAGGCAACCTTCATAAGGAGATGCTACTCAATTTACCTAACATGTAAGGGTGGTAACCAACCCCATCCCCCGAAAAAATCTCCTCGTAATAAACAAATAATTCTTACTTTTTTACGAAATCAAATGGACACGTATTAGCAGGTTGTCATAAAAAGCAAATTTTTTTTTTTATATAAGTTCTGAACGTAAATTGTACCTTGAAAACAATTTGATTTGTTTTAAAAAGAGTTGAACTCAATGAAAATACCTTTAGATCTTCAAATTATCTCGAAAACAAATCGTTACAATTTTTTTTTTAACAGAGATGTAAAGGTATTCGAAAGACCTTCAAAACAAGGTGCCACTCGATCTACTTTCCCTATCTAAATAAGGGTCATCTAAATAAGGTAGTACGCACCCCTCCGAGGGGGTGCGTACTACAAAAAATCTGATAAGTCTGAAAGGTGTCCCCCTTTAATTAGAAATTGACATGTCCAAGCTTTTTTAAAAATCTTACTTTTTATATTCAAAAACGGCTCTGTTAAGTTTTCGTTGTTACACACTGTATGAATTGAAGAGAAAAATTTGTTATCCAGTCTACAGCTCCGTATTTTCTGAGATCTAAATAATAGTTTTCCTTAGTAGGTTTGATGAAAATTTTGGTGTCTCTGACACTTTAGACTACACATAAACATTTTACAACGCATGCTTCTCCATAAACTACAACTTCAAACATAATATAAAAGAAGTCGACGAAGAAGTTCATATAAATTTAATTATATCTGGGATCAAACAGGAATTTATTTTGTTGCTCATCACCATTTCGAACATTATCGAATTGTTACTAAGCATTCCTAGTTTTATGAAATTGGTTGAAAGTACAGCTCATATACAAAATACGGACTAGATGAAAAAAGTCTAGTCGAATAGGAACGAACAGTTGAAAATTGAACAAATCCGAATTTGAAATTCAATTTGGAGAACATTTAAAAATTGTTCTGCACAAGTACTAGACCTTTTCACGAAGAACTAGGAGCTATCAAAATATCCAAATAACTTTAAAAATCTTTCATACGAAACAAAAATGAAAATCAATTTGGACAACGAGCACATATACCCCTAGTAACTTGTCCAAATACATCATTGAAAATACAGTCAATATGGCAGAAATATTGAATAATAGAGGCCAAAAAAAGGCTTTGATATTCGGGATTTTTTAGTTGAAAATACCATGCCCGAAGTAATGCCAAAACTTTACAACAAAGTTATTGTTTTTTTTAGGATCTACAAAAATTTCGATTAGAAGAAGAGAAATGGTAAATTTTCGTGTGTAACTCAATGAGAGCTTTCTGAATATAACTGAAAGAGACAACATTTTATTAGTAAGAAATGTAAGAGTTTCAGATACTAGAATTCAAAGCAGAATTATTTGGTAATATGTCAGTTAGATCCAATATCTCTTCTGAATAGATAGTATAAGGAGTATGCTCTCATTGTTATACATATATCAATCACAAAATTTGGCGAACAGCTGAGTGTCAAACCAAATAATTCAGAAAAAGTACATACATCAAGTACACTGATATTATGAATAAAAGTCGAAGTAACAACATTTGAGTTGAATAACCGACAAATTTCGAAAAACTTACTGTTTACACTATGATATTAGTGAAAAGAAAGTGATATTTTAGGAAATGAACTAGATGAAAGTTATTTGGAAATTGTATCCATGTCCTCATCCAACACTTTGATGAAGTATGACGAATGGACAACCACTTCAGTCAAGAAATCCAAATAGTTATGTTTCAAAAATAAAACAGTAAGAATAATTTTTTGAAATTTCAACTTCTGACACATTGAAACCCTAGAAATTATTGAGGAAAAATTGTTTTAGATGCTATATTTTGCTATTATACTTTGAATTTTCTATCATCATGATCTCTTTTTTTCAATGTCACGTTACGAAAGCTCCTTGAATCTCTCGATGGACAATTTCATCTAACACCATTTAGGAAAACACTTAAAAATGAACTAGAACGAGGTATAAACTCTAATCAGACTTTTCTTGTATTTTATCGAAGCGCACTTTCCATCTGTCCTTGACGGCCGTCATCGACCACTATGACGTTTTGTGCTTCTTCTTCGGTTCTCGTCGTCTTTCAGCGTCGTTGTTCATCAACAGCTTGAGGTCCTTGTAGTCCAACTGCAAGTACCACCGAATAACTGTCAAGCGGCCCAGGTGTGTTGACAGGCCGGCGGCCAATAATTTTATATAAGTCTGCAGGTGTCATTTTTAATTTCAATGTAATTGTCAAGTGTGATAAGTTTCAGAGCTCGCTGATGAAAATAGGAAGAAATACATTGACTATAAGCTTCCATCATGATAATGTTGTTGATGCCAAATCATTCCAATGGTAGTTACTGATCAAAACAAAGAATTGTTGTTGTCTTTAGGTAGATAGATATTACCTGTTTTGAAATTGAGAGTTGATAAGATAACCTTGCTTTCGTGGATTTTATCAAAATTTATTACTATTAGTTACAATCTGATGTGACACTATAATTCGTACGTCTTATGAATCTCTACCTATTTCCACCGAGTCTGTATTTCATGAGTTATGAGAGTAAATGTCATGAACCAAATCTTTTTACTCCTCGAAAGTTGGATATATTTAACAATTGAAACAGCATATTCTGATCATTCCCATACTGATTTCCACTGAACAGCCACCGGTAGACAGCTGTTTCAGCCTGTTGAGCATCGTCAGTACCGGGCAGGCATTCTTCGATTGAAGACAAAATGTGAATAACCAAGAAAAGTGCTTGATAAAACTAACTGCGTAAACGCAAGCGAGGCATAAGTGGAACCACCTATCGGTGTAACACCCAAGTCAACTTGCCAAGTTTTCATGTCAGTGTTGGTGGTTTGACCAATCAACTGACAACTGCCGTAGCAGAAATTTGAGAAGCTATCCTGGCATGCCATATATAGAAGAAAAATTCGTGATTGGCCTTACTGTAAATCAATGTATTTTGTGGGGTTGCAGTCAGATTGGAAGGGTTGTTACGAAGAAGACTCTTAGTTATGTGTCAAGCTTTCGGTGAATGTATTACTTTCGTCAGGACAATAACGGGAAAATAATTAAGAAACTGGAACATGAACAGAAATGAGGCATAACAATTTTCTTGAATATGTCAAATTTTAACAGAGTGTCATGTGGGAAAATATATTTATGCCTATTATTTCTGTTCGTGTTGTTCCAGTTCCTTTATTATTCTCCCGTTATCGTCTGACGAAGTTAATAAATTTACCGAAAGCTTGACACATAACAAAGAGTCTTCTTTGTAACAGCCCTTCCAATCTGACTGCAACCCCACAAAAAACATGCTGTAACTCATATATGCGGTTTTTTCCATTAAGTTTGTCATTAAATTTGATCCCCAGACACAGGCATCAGTTTTTATCTATCGAGTTTGAAAACAGGAGTTTCCCTTTAAAAGTGTCCAATTTGGGTCCACTCTGTACATCTGACTCCTAGAAACTCGTAGTTCTTCATGTATTCTGGTGTTTTCCTTATTAGGTTCCCCTGAGAAACTCCAAACACACACATTTTAATAATATTATTATTGGAAAAATATAAGAAAGTCACAACTAAACCCAAATTAAAAAATAGTTTGGGGAATTTCTCTAGTGACTCTCTCTTTAAAAACAATCTGATATAATTTTCTGTTTTTCCTCAACTGATAATTATATTCTTTTTTCTCTTTCAAACATGTTCTTTGTTGATATGTTGTTATTCTTATGAAATTGTTAACGGCTAAAGAAAGTTAAGACACCCGACTATCGTAGATAATTTTATCATGGAAGTTGTATATCTCTTCCATATTTAAGAATATTTTAGAAACACTGATAATCAAATGTATCATACTTTAACTCCAACCAAAGTTTCCAATTGTAACACTACTCCTACCACCATAACTGAAACTTTCTTCTAGGTGTGTTACACTAAACAAGTTGACAGAATCAGATGAGATTATGCTGATATAGTGATAAACTAACTACACCTGAGTTCGGAATATTACAGTTATCTCCTGATGGCACCAATTTGTTTGAAGTGTTGTATGATTAACATTTGTCTCAAACTTGAAGCTCCAGCTCCATTTTTCAATCAATGTTTCATCAAGCCAGATTTAGTGAAGAGTAAAGAGATTTGGTTTCTTGTTAATATATATTTCGAACTATATTACGAACCATATCCCAGTGAGAGGAAAATAAATCCAGCACCTTTAGGAGTAGACGTCAGTTCCTGAAAGCTATCGACCTGTAGCATGCACTATCAGAATTTAGTGGCAGTACCGTTAATGACACCAACAGACCTCCAATGTTAGTGAATCATGCAGTATTTGCGAGATATATTGATTATTGATTTATATTTCTGATATTTTCATAGAGAATACATCAAGACAAAGACTTTACGACAATAAAATTTCTTGAATGTTTTTCATAATTGAAGTTACTCGCAAACACTTATTTTGAAGAAAGGCAGATATATATGTACTCACAAGCATTTCATCATCTGGTATCCTAGAGAGCAGATCCAGTACCTCATTGTTAGGTACAGCATGCGGTCTCAAAGTCCTTCTGAGAAATTTGTTTGTGCCCCAAAGCATGAGCAGATACCTAATTGGCATTATATAGAGCACCACCGTGGCTAACAGCAGCAATATTATCGCTATCCACGATAAGTACGGTACTGTGAAGTTGAACATACTAGGAGGAAAATATATTTAAGACTAAAACGTAAACAGAAACCAAGAAAAGTTCTCCAACTTGATCTTTTAACTATATTTGGAAAACCGTTTTGGTCATATCCAAAATCATAAATTATGTTTTGTGATTACAAGTAGAAACTATGAAACTTATGATTATTTTTTTTTAAATTCAGATATTGTGGAAAACATTCCTTTCAACTAGTATGTTCCGATTACTGATCACTCATGTTTCAAAACAAGAGACCAACGCATTAGCGGCCAGGTATACTCACTTCCTAATGCTCTCCAGAAGGGAAGCAATCCTTCCAATAGCATTCTGAACTCCCTGCGTTACTTCCTGAATAGCTTGCAATCGCTCCTTCAAAGTTTTCTTCTCTTCCTTCTCTTTCTCTTCATCATCGTCGTCTTCCAAATCAGAATCAATACTTTCATCCCAAGCAACTTGTGTTGGTCCTGCTAGTGTTTTGATGGTGAATTGCTTCAAAAAGAGCAGGATACCGAAGGTAGGCAGCATCCATGGTTGGAAGTAATAGCAGAGAATCAGCCAAGCGACCAGCGCCATAAAACTTTGAAGTTTGGATTCCCATTCAAAGCAGTTTCTGGAAAAAGTCGCATATGTATAAAATTCAAACTATCCATATGAATTGTAGAAGAAACATTTTTATGACTGCACATGTCTTGTGAAAACGTATTTCCATAAGCAAATCATATTACTTTCTTTTTATCAGAGGGGCTCACAGATATAGGAAATTCACTGACTCTAAATATACTACTCTTATTGGGAAAGAAAGTTTTTGGCTTTCTACTACTCCATCTTTTTTTTATCAAGATGGAGTTGAAGAAAGCCAAAAACTTTCTTTCCCAAAAATTAGTCACTCCTAAAAATATAACCCCTTCAATTCAAATTACTACTCTTCTGTTCGTGAGACAACAAATAGAAGACCATTTCAACTGTGATCATCACCAGAATGTACAGAACATGAAAACCATATACACCACAGAACAGAACAGAAATACCACTGAAGATTTTTACCCAAAGCATTCGAAAATGAACTGAATACGACTTTTCAAATACCCTAATGGATGAGGGTCCGGCAAAGTATTTGAACATGAGATTCCTACCGAATGTCTATTCATTATTCAGCTTTCTTCGAACTGCCACGAGAAAATGATATTGAAAGAGAAAACCGCGCCTCACTGTTTCACCAAGATTGACAATTCATGAATACAGTGAACAGTGAAAAGCTTATGATAACGATATATTAGCGTAAGTAGGTAGGTCCAGCCAGACAACCTAGGGCAAACTCGACCAAAGTAGGCACAGAGTTTGTGTTCTGGTACCTTGACCAGAATTTTGTAAAGAGCAATCCACTCAAAGGTCGACCAACCACGATACATTTTCAACCTAATGAGGACCTGATCAGCAGAAAATCTGCCACTACTTTTGTCAGTTGATAAGCAACATACATGTATGGATAGAGAAATCAGAATTATGTAGTAACGCATTTCAGAAATACGCACTCCCACGGCTGCAGCCTATAACTGCATACGCCAGCCATGCGACGCTCTCTTGATCCTCTTAGCCTAACCTTTTAGCATCCATATCGGAATGTGCAGCTCATACATCATCTTCTTGAATAGCCAGAAATATTAAAATTATTACCGTATGACTATACTAACAAATTTATTTTCTCCTAAATTTTATTTGTCACCATTTCCTACTCACTGAAATATTTTTCCGAATTCGAAGAAGTACACTACGAAAGATTTCAGTCTGAGAACGTTTTTCACAAAAACCTGCCTCTTGAATTTCACCTCAGTTTGCATATACTTTTCTTCCTTTGGATTCAAAGTTCTTATGCATGCTCGAATAGGATTCCAGACAATAGTCATTTCCAGAAGTAGTTGAGGACCATTTCCCTTGGCACGACTTCTCAGTTTCTTGTCCTTCAAAGCATACCACCTCTTTTCTCCGTTTCTGATCCGCAAGAGTGGGATGGCCACCTTACCTTAAAATGAGAACTGATATTATTTTATATGGAATAGAGGAATTAACTTTTGTCTGATTTCTACAAGTTTTTCATTTGTTACGACCGGTTTTGGTTTGATGAAACATTTTCAAGTAAACACATTTTACTAAAGAATGATTTAACAAACAGATCCGACGCTCTTTGACGTTTTCATGGACGTTTTTTGCATTCAAAAAATACCAGGAAACAATAAAACATATCTAAGAAATCATCCGGAAAACGTTGAAAGCGTTTTCTTTCATTTGAGCTGCCATACGTACTATTGTTGGAGAAGATCTGAATTAGTGCAGTTTCACATGCTGATATATTGTTTTTTTCACGTTAACATCCCCTACCTTTTCATTTGATATTCGTTACGATTTGGTTATCATAGTGTCTTCATAGACACGATAGTGCATTCATAGGCACGACAGTGCCTTTGTGGACGCCACAATCTTGTTTTTTTTCAATTCAGCGTCTCCAACGCTCTTTCCCTTTGTCTGACCTACCATACGTAATGATTTGAGTAAAATTAACGAAAATATAACACAGTGCTTTTTTGTCATGTAACAATCCTGGTTTCCAATTTATCTTTTGATAATGACGATATAATACCGAATATATGAAAGTAGGAAAGGCAGTTTTATTATTAATGAAGATGCGGCTTAGTGCCTTTCTGACATGTTGTGCCATCTTTGTTTTTTCTTTGTCGATACGTTCTGCGTCTTTTCACCTTCATTAGAGGTGCTGCACGTGAATATCAGACTATTATTAACGATGATACAACTTAGTGACCTTCTGTCATCATCTTTGTCTTTTTTCTTTGTCAATAAATTCAACATTTCTTTTTGCTACACGTAACAATTCGGCTACGGAAAAGTGGAGGAGTGGGGGTGGACACTAGGGCCGCCTTTCCTACTTATGAATTAGTGCATTTTGGTAAGCAGCTATCGTTTGTTTTTTTTTTCAATGAATTTAGCATCTCCTCCCTTTTCATTCAATGTAGCGATAATAGATTTCTAATAAATTTTGTGTCAACAACAAAGAGACATAACCATTTAACAAGTTCAATGTTAACTTTATGTCACCATTCTAATTTTAATCATCCTCCGCCTCTCTCTCTCTCTCTCTGATTCATTCCGACCAGTTTGAATGATGTAGATTTTGAAACTGAACGTCCATTAGAGAAAGCATGGAATTTTGAGGCAGAAACGGTGCTGCATAACAATTGTCATGAAATAATTTTTGAAGATATTCAGGAGCAAAGATCCTGGGGAAGTGTATGGAGTTGTTATATCTTGGTTTTCTAATTCTACTGATCGGTCGTTGGCAATACCGATGGCAAAATTTTCCTTATACATTATTTAGAATCTCAATGGGAATGACATATTCCCCAGTTGTTTCAGTTTACCGAAATCAGTGCCTATAACAACACATGTACGTTACTTGGGAATGATAAAGATTTTATTGAATTCAAACATTCCAACGCCAATCAATATTTACTTCTTTTCCAATAGAGACTTGAAATACACAAAAACCGCTTCAAATCATTTGATATTTTTCAGAGTCAAGAAAAAATTAACCAAGATGTATGTACAAAGTATCCACATTTTTCTAGACTTTTTCAGTTTTATAATTTCCTTTGAATGTTGTGGTGAATTGGTTTTGGCATTGATTGTTACTCGACTTCATGATCACGATCCTCATCGTATACGGTAATTTCCAAGATGTTGTTGATACGTTAGGTTAGGTTATGTCCAAAGTGAGTGGGTCTATTCGACCCTGCACCCCAACCTGCAAGGGTTCATTGTGGCTCACACCTATACACACTCGAGCAAATACACCCAGCTTCTTAACGAAGCCGATTAGTCTGTATGGTGAGTGGTCTTTCAGGTCAGATGGTAAGAGTACGGCTCTGCCAAACTCTAAAAACCTGATAAGGCCCCCTGCGGGGCACGCATGAAGTATGTGCTCTGCTATCTCATCGTTTTCCAAACAGAGGTGACATACACTGTCTTCCGATAGTCCGAGTCTCTGCATATGATGATTCAAATGACAATGACCAGTAAGAAGGCCAACAACTATTTGGTATAAACCTTCGAAGGGTGAATAAACGCCTTGGAATAAGCCAATCCTGGAAGATTCTGCCAGAAGTCCATAAATCTTCTTGCCATCGATGTGATCAATATTTGTTTGGCAAAGCCTAAAGGGAAGCCAATTCTGGTCCGATGAAGCTGCTTGCAGCACCTTTATTTGCAAGGGAGTCAGCAGTATGCCTTCCAGGCCAGTATGGCCCGGAATCCAGACCAGAGACAATACAGGCGCATAGGTTCCTAGACAGGTTGATATCTCTGTTCTGGGTCTGCGGCTGAAAACACCTGCACCAGAACCGTAAGGTGCAACTATCTGCTCATAATATTTCCTTCTCCCAGAGGATCCAATCCTCTCTACTCGGGAATCCAATAGAGAATTGAAATACACAAAAAACACATCATATCATTTCATATTTCTCAGGTTAACACGCAGATTTTGAATATCGATTCAAATATATTTGAGGTTAGATCCAAATTTTTTAGAGTCAGGAAAAAAATTAACCGAGATGTATGTACGGAGTATTCACATTTTGTGGTAAATTACCTTTGGCACTGAATGTTACTCACCTAAAAACTCGACTTTATGATCACGATCCTCATCGTATACGGTAATTTCCAAGATGTTGTTGATATCTTTGACATTGAAGGTGAAAATCTTGTTCCAGGATGGAGTTAGCGTCTTGTACTCAGTCTGTGTCTGAAGACGCGCATTGCCCAGTTCCAAAACGCAGAATGGGTCGCTTTTCCCTCCAATATCGGCAGATGCCAGGCCTTGGGCCTTGAAAACTTTCACAGTGAGATGACCGACATCTTTTATGTTGTGGAAGGTTTTGTGCCAGACCTATTGCAAACAATTCCATATAGATTCAATGAAGTTTCTCAATATTTCAGATAACCACACGTCAATAGAAAATTCAAGGCTAAAAAAACGTCGAATAAGTCAGACCATAATTAATGATCAGGATGAAATATCAACGAAAGTTGCATCTCACCAACTGAACACTGAATTCGAATCGTAAAGATAATCACATACAGTGTCACATAAAGTCTGCAACATATGGAAGTTTTTTTTTATCAATAGATTCATTCAGAATTTGATTCCGCAGTAAAATTGTGTTTTAGAAATGAGTTGATAACAGTATGTTTCCCTTTGTCATGTGCTTCTCTAAAACTCGTCAAATTTTTAATTGAAATGCAGTAATTCGAATCATTCAGATACATTTCTAACCGAATCAAAACAAATTCAATAACATTCAAAGGGTTATTACTTAGGAGATATTTTTTTCAATTAAATCAAGATTACAATGGCTGGGATTAAATCAAATGAGCGTAAGAATGTGTTTACTTATTGTCATCATGACATGAGTAGATTTTTCTCATTGTGAAATAAAGTCGTGATGTTATGAACGAAATGAGTGCTTCATTTTGTAATATTATCCATATGTGCTGATGAGACAATGAGGCAAATATCTCATTCCGAAACTTTGAAGTTCGCTATTGAGAACGACAATGTTACATGTAAGTTCAATTTCATATCGTAACTCTTTCATATACTAAAATGTGAATCACCACTTTCGCACAGGCACCGCTCAAAGAGCGCCTTGATGATTAAGTCCTTAAAAAAAAGTGTTCCTATGAATGATGTACAATTTAATTTCATAAAGAACGTTTGAAGTACAAACTCAATAGTAAAAAGTGATTTTCGTTTAATTCAATGTACATAAGTATTTCAAATTTTTTTTTCAATTTTCAAATCAATTTTATTATTATTGATTGGATATAAAAAGATATACAAAAAACCTATTTTGAAGACAATATTTGTTTAATTCACCCACATTCAACTTTTCAAAATTTAACACCCTGTATTTTTTCATTTGTATGAAATGTTTCAACATTTCACTACATTTTTCATCAGAGGTATACTATACGAAAAACTTATATTTTACAAATTATACTAAGTTTTAGTAATTGCTGTAACCACACAAAAATGTATTTTCTTACGTTTACTTACTCAAATTTGTTTTTTGAACATTCAAACAAATCGCTAGTAGATTAGAATTTTTTATACCGTCTAGTGATATTTATCGTCGGTTTCAACGATGAGAAATGCGTAAAAAACTAAAGAATATTTATATTGCTTTTTTCTTTAAAAACCCAGTTATCCATGACTGACATCAAAAAATGAATCTCGGAATTTGTCAATAACGCCATGTGTTGCAGGTTCTTTCGCGTATACAGGGTCCTGCAACAGTGGCGCGGTGTTCCATATCTCTATATAGGAAGCAGATAGGAATCTAATTTTCTATAATATTACCTTATTGCTCGAGCTCGACAAAATAAAAATATTGGCGGTCACACAGGGTGTTCGATTTTTTCTGGGCGGATCCCAACTGTGTCTTTTTAAATGGCAACCTATATTTTTTATCGCTTTTTCGGTTTCTTCATAGAAAATAAAATAAACTTTATGTATATCTGCACTTCGAAAATATTGA